CGACTTCTAAATGGCCACCATGGTCACCGCCCATCTTGAGGAGTTTGCCCCCTCACATATACTAATGTGCCACAAACAGGACTTTAATATCACCAACCATTCCCATGTTATTACCGTGTATCCATATAAATGGCCCACCCTGTGGTTCAAGCCAAGAAATCACTGGTGACCAAGCAAGCTATGAAGTCCGTTCCTTCTGTGCCAGGTACGACTAAGCTGATGAAATGTGTTAGTATTGTCTGTCCGTTCCTGTTTTCACTTTAGGGTTAGCCCCTGCTGTGGATTTCTGTTTTCATCTGTCCTTCTTTCTTTTTTTGAACCCTTCTTATCTACGTGTAAAGTCTTGGCTGACGCTCTCGTTTTCATGCGCTGCAGTTAATTTTTCAGGTTTGGCTCAAATACAAGTGCTCGCTCCAAAAAATATGCACCTCTGTGTTCACGCGCTCACCGTTCTCATCCTGGATGCAGATTCCAAACATTCGCAGGATGTTGGGCGAGTCAAACTGCTTCATGGTGTCGACTTCCTTGTTGAAAATAGACTTCACGTCTCTGGATGTGGAGAAAATGTTTGATGGCAGTGAATACAGCAGGACACAGAGAGCACTGGGAGCCTGAGCTGGAACAGCATATAAGTGAATGTGTGTGTTATTTTCTAATGGGAAGGACTATTTTCCTGTGTTTCTTCCCAGTATGGGGCTGAACTGTGGCACTGACCGTGCACTGGTGTTCATGGGGTCGAGGTATCTCTTGATGGCCACTGGGAATCCCTGATATTCTCCTTTGTAGAGCTCGCAGCTCGCTGTTGTCTTGAAGGGCTTTTTGGGATGTTGATACTTCAGTTCATCTGGTTTAATCTGTCGCACAGCCACGCTGCTGAAACTGGGCTTATTCACTGTGAACAAAAAAGATAAAGACTCCAATGATGAATCCCACTTTCTCAACATAAGATGTGTGTTTTGTCAGTAAGTCACCATTCACAGACTTGTTTATGACACAACTCTGGGCAGGGCCGCTCAGCGATGTCGTACTCACACATCTGCACCACTTTGTCCAGCTGTTCCAGTATGGTGTTGGTTTTCTCCTGCTGCTCTTTCATGTAGTCCATCAGCACTGAAGAACAGAGAGAAACACAAACTCTGAGTCTGGTCCAAACGCTCTAACAGGATTTATTCTAAGTGTGGAAACACTGAGAGGAACAGAATCCGCTTTGGTGAACCAGGATCAACACACTAAAGAGCTCTGCTTGAACGTCTCTAAAGACAAATTCAGTTTCTCCTCACATTTCGTCATCTCCGTGTCGTCCTCCTTCCCGTCCATTTCGTCTTCTGTCTCTCTCTGTCTAAACACCTCGTACAGCATCTTGCTCTGCTCTGATTGCAGAGCTAGACACAGGGCCTGGTAAGCATCGTTGAGCCGCTCGCTCACCGTATCAAACTCTTCTCCGTGGCTGCCCCACTTCAGGATGCGCTCCACCAAGTTGGCTGCCGTGTATTTTTCAATTAGCCTCTGTGTTGACTCCAGAGTTAGGATCAGCTCCTCGACGGCTTTCTTTACCTCTGGAGAGAACTCTGTGATGGACTTCACTACATCCTCGAGGGCTTTGACTCGGACCGAAATCCGCTGGCAGCGCTTTTTGTTGGCCTTCACGTTTTCAGCCAGGGTGTAAATCCCTGAGAAGGTGGACCAGATGGGCTCTAAAGTGTCCATGATGAGCTGAAGAGACAGAGAGGACAGTTTATACCAGGAAATGCAACACATCGCTCCCTCACCTAGGAAGTGATCGCTTGAATGTTTGGTGAAGTTAAATTGTAAAAAGCAACGGCAGAATTCAGGGTAATGTTCATCAAGGAAAGAGAGTTTTTTTGTCCTGTTTCTCCCCCAACCGGTCGCAGCAGATGGCCCCGCCCCTCCCTCAGCCTGGTTCTGCTGGAGGTTTCTTCCTGTTAAAAGAGAGTTTTTCCTTCCTGCTGTTGCTAAATGGTCAAACAGCTGTGCAGATGTAAGAAAACCCCTCATCATTGAGACTAAAGATGAAAAATCTGTCTTCTGTTTAACTCTGTGTATGCATAGAAAAAAAAACCTTTTTAAACCTTTTTTTGTTCAGCACTAACAGCTTTTAATCAGTCAGTGTTTAACTGGTGATTCTCCACATTTAGTTTTAACTCTTGATGAACACTCGTGGCTCTCTTCTCATTCCCTGCGACACGGCTTCAGCTTCAGAGCCAGAGTTTCTCAACAGGAAGACAGTCTGCAAGCTAAACTACGAAACAGGATGTGAATGAAACACAATTACCAACACGCACAATACAAGGAAACACAAAGGGAGGAGGACATCAGCCTCAAAAAGACCCACCGAGAAATGATTTTTCAAATCAAAGTCTAAGTAGCTCAAAACCAGGGACCATGACAAGGTTCACATGATAGAATAGAAAAGTAGATAAAAAACCGCTAAATAGCAGATTCTGGAGAGACACTGAGCCTCGCGTTGTTCACGCGCCGCCATCTTGGTACATCAACTGATGTAGAAAGCAGTAGTTTATACCTCCATGCTCTGTTTATCGGTTCTTTCTTTATGTTTGCCCGGCCTCCCCGTGCACTGACAACGCTCCATCGGTTTTATTTTGGTAAGTGTTCAGTTTTACTTTCCCCGGTCTTGTTCCCTGATGTTCCCTTTCTCCCTAGTTTGCTTGTTTGTGTTAATAGCACGTTTCTCTGTAGCTACCCTGTTACCAGCGTTATCCCAGCCTTTGTTATGTGTCTGCCTCAGCTTCAGTAATTACCTCGCCTAGAATAAAAAGCCATTTTCAGTTGATGCCTGCTCGCCCATCAGTCTGCATTTGGGGTCCTCATCCACCATCTAACCTGACACCTTTCCTCTCAAAGGAAAAGTCTGAAATTAAAGTCTCAGCATCATAACCGCTCATGGGTGTATCCTCTGCAGCTACCTCTCAAACGCAAAACCTCAGAAAACCTCCACAGGTGATCCACACACAAAAAAATCACCAAGCTCAGGAAATCAGGAAACTTTTTAGGTGAATTTTCAAACGAGTGTCTTAACTGAGTCATCAAATGAAAAAGACCAGCTGTGAGCAAAGAGGAGAAGCAGGAGAAAGACTGTTTACCTGTCAGGTAAAGTCTGCTCTTCTTCACACGGCAGTCTGCTGTTGGAGCAGACTCTTCAGCCTGCTGCTCTGCCTCTTTGCTTCCTGTCTGTCAGTTAAAGGCCACGCCCCCAACACTCAGTTTTATCCAGGAAGCAGAAACTGTGCATAGCTGCACTTTATCCACACACTTCCTCAGTTTTCCATCATGGAAGTGTGTGCATGACACAGGAGGGACATTTTTGACTCGTTTATCAGACCTTCAGTGTGGCTGAATCCAAACAGCTCTGCCAAAACAGAAACCAGACAAAAACCATCTGTCAGTGTGAACGAGTAGACTCACTCTCACTGAAACATTTCTGAACCAAATCTGAATCTGCAACGATGCAGGAGTGCTCTACACTTCCACGTGCATTCATACATACACGTGTAGAGTATCTATGTGTAGTATTTTGCAAGGAAACAGTATTTTACTTCTAAAAAAACTCGTCCACTGCAAGTATAGACTGTATATAAAAGAAGTGAGGCAGATGCAGAAAGGCCTTAACCCTCATAATGTCCTCCTGATTTCCATACACCTGTGGTCCTCAGGGGACAAAAATGTCCCCATCTGGTTTGATTGATACTTAATTAATATGAAGTGGATTTCCCCCCACTTTTAATTAAAACTTAATTCAAACATTTTTAAACATTTTTTTTATTCCATTTCAAATTTAAATCTGATAAAAACCTCATAAAAATGAATTT